CCCCCCCCCCCCTTTCTCTCTAAAATCAATAGAAAAATAAAAAACAACTAGAATTAATTCTATAAGTTGAGTTAGGAAACTAAAGATTGATCAATAGATAATTTCACAGTAACTTATATATAAATATACATGTATTTCTTTAGGTTTAGGGAAAGGAGATTTTAATGTGTAAGGTTAACTTTTCTCTATTTTATATTACGAAAAATTTCAAACATATACAAATATAAAGAATGGTACAGTGAATCCCCTGTATGCTATACCTGTTGTTCAGCATTATCAAGGTTGTATTATACTTATTTCTCTCTCTTTGGTTCTAAATAATTTAAAAGAAAATCCAATCGTGTTGTTTCATTTCTACATAGTTCAGTTTACATCTCTAAAATACACAGTTGTTCAAGTTGACCCTTGAACAACTTTGGGGTTAGGGGCATGTGCCTAAAATCCCCATATAACTTAAGTGAGCCCTCATATGCAGATTCCCACCCCAGGATCAAAAATACTGTTTTTAGTCCAGGGTTGGTTGAATCCTCAGATTCAAAATCTAGGGATACAGGAGGCCAACTGTATGTTTATTGGCAAAAGATCCATGTGTAAGTGTATCCGCACAGTTCAAACTCGTGTTGTTCAAGGGTCAGCTGTATTTTTTTAAATAACTATGAAGTCATTATTACACCTGACAAAATTATTAGCTGCTTTTTTAAAAATGTGTTTTGTTGATTTCATAGAGAAAGGAAGGGAGAGGGAGGGAGAGAGAGATAGAAAAGTCAGTGGGCTGCTTCCTGCATGCCCCCTACTGGGGATCAAGCCCACAACCTGGCCATGAGCCCTGACTGGGAATTGAACCTGCAGCAACCTCTTGGTGCATGGGAAGACACTCAAGCAGCTGAGCAACACCAGCCAGGGAAGTTGCCAGTTTCTTAGTTTCTGGGTCTCATCTAATAACCTGACACATTTTAGTGTCTCACAAATGTATTTTTCAGTTGGTTTCTTCAGGTCAGGATCTAATTAAGTTCTACATGTTACATTTGATTATTGTGCTCCTGAACTCATAGTCTAGAGTAGTTCCCCTTTTTTTTTATCCTCATGCTATTGACTCTTTAGGAACCAGGTCGCTTTTCTTGTACAGTCCCAAATTCTGGGTTAATCAGTTCACTTTCTTGTGATGTTATTTAACTTTCCTCTTTATTCCCCTTATTTCTTATAAATGGAAGTTAATTCTGATAGCTTGACTAGATTCCATTTCAGCTTGGCAAGGATGCTTCATCATAGGTTTTCTATACCTACATTGCATCACATTTTAGGGCAGTGTCTGGTTGAGGTAAAATCCAAAGAAGATTCACACATTTCATTTGAATGATGCTTCTTTTAATCTGTAAATTCCCCTCCATCTTTTTATTTCTTTCCTTCACAGTTTATGTGTTGAGAATTTAGATTTGTACTATAGTTTCCCACAGTCTGGGTTTTGCTCATTGCACCCTTTGCTGTATTTAACGTGCTCTTTCGGCCCTTGTATCACCTGTAATTGGAGCCAGAGACTTGATCAGATTTATCTTTGATCCTCGTTCCCTCCCTTTGGCACAAAACCCAGCTTCAGAGGTGATATATGGTCTTCCATCAGGTGGAACGTGGTGTCTGGTGGTTTCTGTCCATTATGTGAACAGCACTTGATGCTCAGCTATTGATTTATTTAAAAGAGATGTAAAAATAGTGATAATTTTATGTTAACCTTTCTTAGTTATTAGCTAGAATACTTATACATACAGAGAAACTTCGCCTTATTCAATATTTGATTACCTGGTGGTACAGTTTTTGGTTTGTTTGTTTGTCTTGGTTATTGTTTTTTGAAAGGATAAAAGCTAGGTTTCCCCCCCTTTTATTTACCAGTTTTTAGAATAATGCATTGGTTTACTGGCATCCTCCAGCATTTACCCAGTTTGTTCATTTTTATGTAACATTAAGAACTACTAGATTTAAACATATTGCTGAGTTTTAACCCATTGTAGTTATTGTCCTTATTGATGCTCATGTTGTCCCAAGCTGGCTGCCATGTTCTTTTGACATGACCATAGTAAGAAGTCATTGATAGATTTTTTTAAATAGATTTTTTTTACTGTCTAGTGTTTTAAGATATTCTAGGCTCATCTTGTACAGAATGGAAATTGACCATTTGCCAAGGAGTTACTGACAGTATTTGAAATCAGTATTTCAAAACTACAGTCTATTCAGTCAAAACTATATAGGGATATGCTGCTACTGGGTTGGTCATTGTTTCCTAGGATTTTCATTGGACAGACCTAGGAAAGTGTATATATGTGTTTTATATTTAAAGATAAAATACACTATAAGCTCATGCTAATACCCTTAATTGAGATTTAAGGCTACAAGACTTTTATTCAGTGTCCTCTCTCTTTTTTCACTCATGATGAAACTTCATTCTCAAGGATACTACAGATGATGGAATTAGAATGTCACATAACTACTCATTTGCTTTATTCTACCTTATTCACAACTATCTCAGCATAACAGTACTTACTCTCTGATCAAAAATATGATTACTGAAAAGAGTTTAAATTTTTTCCAGTTCTTTGTCAGTAGTATATATTTCACTAGAGATACTCTAATTACTATGTTCTACAAATCACTTGGAATAGTCCCTTTCCATCAACTGTACAAATTTAGGTTAATTATTTTATTTTATCCATTTAATGTTAAATCTCTTCTTTTAGGTAGGAAGAGTGGCGTCTCTCCTAAAAAATCAAAATATATGACTCCAATGCAGCAGAAACTAAATGAAGTCTATGAAGCGGTAAAGAACTATACTGATAAGAGGGGTCGCCGCCTCAGTGCCATATTTCTTAGACTTCCCTCCAGATCTGAGCTGCCTGACTACTATCTGACCATTAAAAAGCCCATGGACATGGAAAAAATTCGAAGTCATATGATGGCCAACAAATACCAAGATATAGACTCTATGGTTGAGGACTTTGTTATGATGTTTAACAATGCCTGTACATACAATGAGCCTGAGTCTTTGATCTACAAAGATGCCCTTGTCCTACACAAAGTCCTGCTTGAAACTCGGAGAGACCTAGAGGGAGATGAGGACTCTCATGTTCCAAATGTTACCTTGCTGATTCAAGAGCTTATCCACAATCTTTTTGTGTCAGTCATGAGTCACCAAGATGATGAGGGAAGATGCTACAGCGATTCCTTAGCAGAAATTCCTGCTGTGGATCCCAGCTTTCCAAACAAACCTCCTCTTACTTTTGACATAATTAGGAAGAATGTTGAAAATAATCGCTATCGGCGTCTGGATTTATTTCAAGAGCATATGTTTGAAGTGTTAGAAAGAGCAAGAAGGATGAATCGGTATGTTTTCAAAGCCATTTCTTTTTTTTATAAACTATTATGTTTAATGTAAAACAGAAGACAGGATTCTGCTTTGATGTACTAGTTCACCTTAGGTGCATGATTATGGTTGGTGGGATGCTATTTTGAATTCTAATGAGCCGGAATTTGTAGAGAGAAAGCATCTGGATTAGGACTAATGAGAAGGAGTAAGACAAGATTGAAGATCTGTTGAAAAGTGTAACTTAAAATACAACCTTTAACAAAACATTCAGAGGATAACGTTTATAGTTAGAAATACTAACGTGGTTTTCTTTTAAAGTTTGAGTTCAATTCAGGCATACTTAAAATAGTTCAAAGGTATTGATCTGAGTTTAAATTGATTTAAATTTGGTCACCATTTCAAGTACCTACAAGGGCTTTTTTTTTTTTTAATCTCACATTTCTCGCTTTAAGTGCCTTCTGCTGACATTATGAAATGTTCTAAAAGAAGCAATCAAATTTAAATTTCCATCAAGCTTAAATTCCCTTTTAATATTTATTTGTCATACATCTTTGCCACATGACAATAGTATACTTGACTGTTAAAACAATTTCACTTCAGCAGTTACAGTGTGTGTTCTTTGTGCTCTTGTAGTCATTTGGGGGAATATAAAATGTTAAAGCTACAGACTCTACCTTCTTGGACCTTACAGTCTATCATGATGAGAATTAGACCTTTAAGCAGTTGGCAGGGGATAATTCCAGCTGGGGAGTGTGTGAAGTCTGCATTTGCTTTGAATCTTGAAAGAAAAATTAATAGTAATGTTTGCCATTTCTATTAAGCACCTGTTCTTTGTAAATCACCATGTAGATAATCTCTAAATTTTATATAGCCTCTAGAACAGCCATTCTACGTAGGTGATAATCTTCCCAGTTTGAATGTGAAGAAGTGCACAGAGAGAAGTTACCCAAAGTCACACAACTAGTAAGTGTGGTGGCTCATTTTCTTCCCCACTATAGAGGCCTAGGATTGAGACACCAGTCATTGAGCACAGCCATGGATGATAAGGCTTGAGCTCTATGTTCTAAGTGCTTGAAGTCTGACAGTTGGGAAAGGACCTATGCTTAGGGAAAAATAATTTGAAGCATGAGACAACATATAGCAAGGAACTCTGCACTAGAGTTCTAAAAAGGCTTGAGGCATCGGGAAAAATGGAAGCATGGTTGAGATTCACATAAGACAAGTGGTGTAAGTAAAGGCATAGGGTTAGGAAATGAATATGGTGTGTCATAAGGGTCAGGTGGAGTTGGGGCCAGATTGGAGAGGCCCTTGAGTGACACATTTAGGAAATGGTCTTTATTCTTCAACAGTAGAAATAGAAATAAAGAGAAAGACTGAGGGAGAGGGGTGTGTGGGTGAGTGTAGACATCTTGCAGTCAAAAGCTGCATTTATTTATTCAACAAATGTTTATTGAGTGGCTATCAGTTATGAGCATTATCTGGATGCATGGGATATGCCAGTGGAGAAAACAGACAAACCCTGCTTTTGTGGAGCTTAGACTTATGACTTCTGTTCTTGTTCTGTTTACTTAAATAGTCTTTAAGTCTAAAGTAGGGGTCAGGAACATCCGGCTCATGGGCCATATATGGTCCTTGAAATCATTTGGTCTGGCCCTGCCAAGGGAACCACAGGTGAGACTCAAAATTCAATAAATCTAGGAGCTTTTTTCATAGCTAATTTTTAGGTTGATGATTTTATATGGCCCATGAATGATGATATAAATATCTAAATGGCCCTTGGCAGAAAAAAGGTTCCCCAACCCTGTCTAAAGTCACTCTTGGCCCCATTCCCATTATATTTTGGTGTTAGTTCTGTGAGTTTTCCAAAGTACATTTGTCTCTTAGATTATTAGCAACTTTATCTTATATAGGCAGCATGATTATTTTAAGAATTGACCAATTTGTATCCCTAGGAAATGAGCTCTTTTTCATTCTCCTGCTGTTGACATGACTGGTGTTTGCTCTTGAAGCCTAGGAGATAAGAGTCCAAGGTTTATTTATATAAGATAGTGATCAGTTTCACTCATGCCAGAGCTTTGTTGCAAAATGTGAGGGAAGCCCTTCTTATCTTTATGAATGAATATCTCACACAGTACTTAAAGAAAAACCCATGCTAGGGTGAGTGGAGGTGGAAGGGGATTTAGGGAAAATAAATGATGGTGGGGGGAAAATAAAGAGGGGGGAAAAGAATAACCCATGTTGGCTGAGATGGAGATGCATCAGTTTAGTGAATGATAAACTATGTCTTTATTTATAATATTGCCAGTCATGAAGATAGATGTCCCAAAAATATTAAGTTCATGAATTTAATGAAGTCCACATGCAGTAGATTTTCATGTTGGTCTCTAACAGTGTTCTTGCTTCACACTTACCCCTACCAATATCACCTAGCAGTTCATACCCTGAAGTGGAAGGGATCTGAACAGTGAGGCATAGAAAAGTTCACTCAGGTGTCAGTGGTTTGTCTATCAGCAGTATTCAGTAATAGCACAGGGCTGACTCCTGCCAGTTGGCCTCTAGCTTTCCTAATATGCTGGCAGCATTCCTGGATTAAGTGCTCTTACTCCCTTGCAGGTAAGGTGGGTGCAGAACCTTTTTTCTGCCAAGGGCCATTTGGATATTTTTAATATCATTGGTGGGCCAAATGATTTATTGAATTTCGAGTCCCGCCTGTGGTTGCCTTGGCAGGGCCGGACCAAATGATTTTGTGGGTATAAGACCCATGGGCAGACATTCACCACCCCTGAGGTAAGGGAACAACCCATGGGATGACAAGGACTAGGGAAGCACTAATAGCCTCCTATAATCTTAATTATTTTCTTCTACTGAATGTCTGACATATGTATAAGGATTACCCACCAGTTATATGGAATAAGAGTTATTTCTTTATCCTTCTTGAGTTTTTGTTCTTGCACATGCAGGGAATACCTAGCCTCTTAGATTAACAGATTTTTAAATAAATAAAACAGAAAGGATATGTCCGATGTTTAATGGCTCTACAAGGAACATCCATTACTAAACTACATGACATGATGGAATTATAAATCTGCCCCTTATTTACATTGTGACACTGTCAAAAGTGTGTTTTTACTTTTAATTTTATACTTAAAATTGTAAGCTATTATAATTTTTTTTTTTTTAATATATCTTTATTGATGTCAGAGAGAGGAAGGGAGAGGGAGAAAGAGACAGAAACATCCATGATGAGAGTCATTGATTGGCTGCCTAGCCCGCAACCTGGGCATGTGCCCTGACCGGGAATCAAACCCCGATCGCCTGGATCCTAGGTTGACGCTCAACCACGGAGCCACGCCCGGCCGGGCAAAATGATTTTTAATTTCTAGTGGACAGTCTTCAAATATTTCTTTTCAGAAAACAGGCATCAAAGTGTTGTAGGAGTTTATTCCCTTGGCCAGTTTTATAACCTGGAAAGATTTTTAAAACCTTAACATCCATTTTGGTTATTATTGGCAATATTTTTAGATTTTTTTTTGCCAGTTCACCTTTTCTGATGAAGAGAAGCACCCTGGAGGCTTTGCTAAAGTCTGATGCTCTAGTAGTGGGTGGCAGCAGGCAGCTGTCTGGGCTTGCTATGCCTGCCACACTCCCCTGACCAGAATGTCTACATGACTGCTGCTGAGACCTTGTCTGTGGCTACCTTTGTGAATAATTTTTCAGACCCTAGTATTCTTAGTTAAAGGAATTATATTTAAGCCTTCCTCAGACCACAGTAGATTGAGATAGTAATAAAATATCTACCAGTCCAAATTCTAAAGTTACTTTGCTCAGCCCTCTCATTTTAAAACTTTTAAAAGTTTTCAATATGACCCAGTAATTTTTTTCCATCTCTCACTGTGTTGCCTCTGATGGTTCCCCCAGATTATGTGGTTATTTCTGGGAAACTAAAATGAACACTGACCTGTAACCATTATAGGATCCCTCATGACTTTGCAGTTTAGGTCATATATTCTGATTCCTAGCAGCCTAGGCAATCATGATATACAAATCCAAAAAGAAGAAAAGGGACATTGCCTAAATCTTTTGTTAACACTGTATGTAATGTGTTGGTCCCTCAATTAAGAGAAAGTAAAAATCCAAAAATTAGATGCAGGTAAGTGGTGCACATGGTATAGAGCCTTGGGATAGTCCTCGACTCTGGCAGCCCCCTTCTGTTCAGCTGATACATATGCCGTGTTTCTCCCCTGGAAACTGTTTGAGGCCTTTCCTTTTACATGAGCTATACAAGCTGCAAACTTTCATGAAAAGGAAACTGGTGGGCATGAGGCTTACCCAGGAAAAATGAATTTTCAGATTTTGTTCTAACGAATTTTAAGTAGATACCCTTCTTAGAACTGTGCAAAAGTACCATTATATCAGTTAACATTAAAGAAGCATTTGATAGAATTTAACATGTAATTGAGGTGTTTAAAAGAAACAGCCTGTGCGTCAATAGATACTTGATGTTGTTATAGGACAGATTCCGAAATATACGAAGATGCGGTAGAACTTCAGCAGTTTTTCATTAAAATTCGTGATGAACTCTGCAAAAATGGAGAGATCCTTCTTTCACCAGCACTCAGCTATACTACAAAACATTTGCATAATGATGTGGAGAAAGAGAAAAAGGAAAAATTACCAAAAGAAATAGAGGAAGATAAACTAAAACGAGAAGAAGAAAAAAGAGGTTGGTTTCTTTTCATTTTATTAAATATGAAGAAGCATACTACACTCTTCTCTAGTTTGCCTTATAATTTGCAGTGGAGAAGAGTCCTGTTGATATAAATGAAGACTCAGGGTGTTGATGTTTTCAAAACAGACCTGGTAAGATGGAAATGTTTTTATCGTTATCAATTTGGTCATCAGACTGGAAAAGATTGGAAGTTACAAGTGACACAGCTGTTATCCTGGTACTTCAGGAACAGTGTCAATTAATTCACAAGCGTGGGAGATTAATACTGTTGGTAGATAAAAACCTAAAGGGCCCAGCTAGGGCTAGAAAGCATTCTCAGCTGTGAGTGCATCAAGGTTCTGCCTCATTGTTCAGCAGCTTGGCTCCTCTCATACAGACTCTAGGCCAGATAAGTAGATGATACTTTGGCTGAACCTGATAATTAGAAGGAAATTTTTAGAATTTTAATTGTATCAACCTAAAAATATTACTTTGAGTTACTTGTCAGAAGTTAGAAATATTTTGATAGTGGAAACTTTTATTAGAAATTTGGTCATTTCTGATAAAGTTCAAGTTCATGTAGATATCTAGAATATATGACTTTTTAAGAGTTATACTAGTTTTTAGCATCAAATCTGTTCCTAGGTGTTTTTATTTCCTTAAGCAAGTAACAAATTTATTTGAAGCAAATTTTTATAAGCAATGGCATATGCAAAAAAGAAGAAAAAGGAACCTGGTTGGTGAGAATAATAATTTTAGCAGCATAGGGCTAGCTGTGAAAGCCAGCAGCTTTGCTGACAAGAGGGGCTATAATCATTTAGGATGGTGATTGAGGGGAGTGAGGAGGGTCTCTGACTTTACCAGCGAAAAATGATTGATGCAGAAATGAACGGGGTAAACCTAATAGCTTTACTAGCCTGAGGTGACAGTGGGATTGAGGAATATCCTGAAAATTCACTGTAGAAGGGCTGAGATACGTTCTCCACATAGTCTTAGATGACTGGGAAACTATGCACGTGTAAGGGAGATAGGAGAACTGAATGAAAAGCAAAATGCAAGGGATACTTGAAAGTTGGTTACAACTTTGAATGCATTCCCCAAGCCACATTCAGATCAGTCATTAGAGGGTGAATTCTTACAGGTTTGAAGTACTCGAGTACAGTCATTACCTAAATCATTTGTTGACTCTTAGCTATGCAGACTTAGGAGCAAACCTTCATATCATGTGTGTTCGTATACTTACAATGGGAGTCTTTGCCCTTGATTGGTCCTTAGCTACCAGGAACTATTTACAGTGACTTAATAATCTATGAAGAAGACCTATGAGCAGAGCCACATAAAGACAAAGACTGTAGAAGATTTTTGTTCCTTTCCCAGCACTGTACCTATTTCATGACTAGAGGAAAGGGAGCCCTGCTGCATAGACATCCCTGATAATAACTGGTTTTGTTTTTGATTTTTGCACTAAGAGACTGTATTTCTCAGCAATGTGACAAAGTGGGTAAGAAGTGGTGCTTTGCCATAGAATGTGAAGTAAGCTCTAGAAGGACTTAGTAGGAAAGACTGTAGAAGCAGTGTACTCTGAGGGTTGTTGTAACTAGTTATTTCTAGCCATGAGAGAACTACAGTCTGCTTCAGATTGTCCTATGTCAGGTTACTTTATGAATATTAAAGGACAGCAAAACAGCAGAAAATAGGATAATGGTTGTGTACGTCAGTTCTCCCTCTTGGTTTTTAAGCCATAGAGGAGGTTTCTTAACCAGTGGAAATTGAGGGAAACCCAAAGATCTCACACACCCTTTTATTATATTAAATACCAGAACTAACCGCTCATACAAGGATAAGTACGCAAAGGTAAAACAACATAGAGGGCTTTCACTTAACATGGCAAATTGTACACAGATGTCTACTGCTGCTTCTTCCAAAAACACCTCTAAAATGATGGAAAGGGGATTTTTTAAAACAAAACAAAAGGCATAAACACAAGCATTTCCTGCTCTGAAAAAAATTAAAGAACACTGGAAGAGGAGATAATGGCAGTTAAAATTTGAGAGCTAGAAAATGGATGGATAAGTTGCTAACACTGGCTTCAAAGATAGCATCAGATGAAGACCTTAGCAGGCCATTTCCTGTCTAGAAATACACAGGGATTAGAACACCAGGTATTCCTGAAAATGTAGGTGCACACGGGCTTAGAAGAGTCTAAATTTAAAGTTACTGAACTGCCACATCACCTCCCAAGCCCTTCCTGTGACTGTTCATCCTGAAGAATCTAGATTTAGGGACAATCAGGAAGACCTAAGGATGAGGTTACAGTTCTGAAGAGAGGCATTGTGAAAGGATTTATACTAAACAGTGAGAACCCCGGCCCTCTTAGCTACTTTGCTCCTAGAAAACTGACAGTCAGGCTTATCACTCTGAGAATAGGAGATTTTTTTGTCTTAAGAAATGGACCAGGTAATGGGGAGAAACTAAAGATAAAAACATCTGGAGGTCCCCAGTAAAATCCAGCCGTCAACCAGCTCTATGTGTGCATAGAGAGCTTGTAATCAGTTTTCTTAGCATTTCACTTTAAAATAGGAACAGGTACTTATTTAAATAGGACCAAGTATTTAAAGAAAATCTCTAAGATGTAAAATAGAGAACAAAACAACAACAAAAAATGAACTTGGAGGAAACAAGTGAAAGCGGAAGGAGAAAATGTAAAACAACAAACTAAGATTTAGACCTTCAGAGATGACAACTACTGCATCCATAAACAAATTATATGATGTGTGAATTATATCTCAATAAAACTGTTGAAAATGATAGCAATGGGGGGTGGGGGGAATAAGATTGATATTTAATAGTACAAACTTGCAACAAGTAGTAAATGAACCGGGCACAGTATAATTAATATAGACAACAGTATTGTACTATAAGTAATGTGACAAATGTCACTACAATGGCAACAGTATATAAATGTATCAAAGTAACACTTTGTACACCTTAAATTTACACATTATATGTCACATTTATTCAAGTTAATTTTTTTTTAATGATAGCAAAAGGAAACATTTAGAGAAGAATTAGAAGATAAAGTTGACATCTCTGAAGGAATAGAACAACAGATGGAAACAGAGAAAGAAAAAGAACTAAAAGATCAGCCCAGAAGGCCCAGAATCCAGATAATTGCAGGACACAGTTCTGCTAAATTTTCTGCCATTGTACATGTAAACAAGGGTCCCCTTTCCTCTGCTTTCCAATAACATGTTTTCCTGTGCCTTCAGCTGCCCAGTTGTTGATGTCCATTTCTCTGCCAACAGTTTATTCAAGGCAACCTAGGCTAAATTTTCTATCATGCTGCTCAAAATTCTTTCAGTCTCTGCTTACTACCCGATTCCAGTCACTTCCATATTTTGTAGGTATTTGTTATAGTAACATTCCTTTACCAGGTACCAAAATCTCATCTAAATATCATTAGCTCAAAAGTCTCAAATCTCATTTAAATCGTCTAACTTAGGTGTATGGGTGAGGCTCTCAGTGTGATCCTTCCTGGGACACAAATTTGTGGACCTGTGAAACTTAAAAAAAAACACACAAGTCCTTCGCTCCTACAATATAGTGATAGGACATTCATAGGCTAAGAGAGACATTCCCATTCCAAAGGGAGAAATGAATGGAAAAAAATTAGTCATCAGTTCCAAGCAGTTTTGAAATCCTGCTGGGCAGACTTCATTAAGCTTCAAGACCTCGTAGTCCTCTGTGGCTCAATACTCTGCCTCTGAATCATCCTTTTTCATGAAAGGTAGCATATGTTTACAGCTGAGGTGTTTTATCAGCCTTTTTCCTGCCTCTAGAATTTGAGGGGAAGGAGGGATTAATAGCACTTTCATTTTGTACTGTTTCCTTTCAGCCCAGGTGACAGTGTTCCTGCTGGCATAAGATTCTCAAGAACCTTGTGAATATGCTGCATATGTTACAGGGGTTCATTTGATTGATCAACTACTAGATAACATTTTCCACCAAAATTGGCAAAACTTTAACAAAAGTATAAGGATCCTGTTATACCAATGTTAGGGAGTTGAGAAATCGACCCCTTGTAGCCAAACAGTGAGGGACTTAAATTGGTATGGACTTTTAGGGGTAATTTTGGAATATGCATTTTAAAAAATACTTTTAATGCTGCCCTGGCTGATGTGGTTCAGTGGTTAGAGCACTGGCCTACACACAGAAGGTTCATGGGTTCAGTTAACAGTCTAGGGCACGGCACATACCTGGGTTGTAGGTTCGATCCTGAATGTCCCTGTCAGGGTGAAACCAATTGATGTGTGTCTCTCACATCAATGTTTCTCTCTCTCCCTCTCTCCCTCCCTCCCTCCCTTCCTCCCTTCCACTGACTCTAAAAATCAATGGAAAAATATCCTTGGGTGAGGATTTAAAAAAATAAAAATAAAAATAAAAAGCTATTTTAAATTTCCACCTGTTCCATTTATGGAAAATTATCCTAAGGAAGTAATTAAAGATGTGGGCAGAGCTTTATTCTAAAATAAAAGCCAAAAAAACTCTATGGTATTTACAAATGATGGCTTGCATTAGAGCCATTAAAAAGTCTTATTTCACAAAAATAAAAGTCTTGTTGAAAAGCATTTACTCTCAAGGGAAATGTTCATGATATTAGTAAGTGTATACATATGTAGCTTATAGTACTGTATATTATATATAATATACATAAGTCTGTATTTCCTCAATTCTAAGATTCCATTAATTGTGTCATATCCATATAATAACTGTTAGGGAAAATAATTTCAGAGGCATTTAGATGAAAAGAAGTACATATGAGATTATCTCTCGGATTACATGATTTACAAGTGACCTATTTGTAACTTTCTGTATCATCCAGAATTACTGCATTGAGCATGTATTATTATAATAATTTTTATTTTATAGATCCTTTACTTAATTTATTTCTTTAAATTAATGGCAGTTAGTTATAATTTAAGAAGACAATTTTGAGTAGAGGCTATAGAGAATATGGATGTTATACTATTTGTCTTGAATCCTGCCTTTGAATGTCTAGAAAAGAATTAAATATATTGGTATGTGTTGTTTGAATCCTGCATCTGATTCCAACATTCCTTTAATGAGAACCTCTTTGTCTTTTTTATCTAAGAGGCTGAAAAGAGTGAAGATTCCTCAGGTGCTGCAGGCCTCTCAGGTTTACATCGCACATACAGCCAGGACTGCAGCTTTAAGAACAGCATGTACCATGTTGGGGATTACGTCTATGTAGAGCCTGCAGAAGCCAGCCTACAGCCACATATAGTCTGTATTGAGAGACTTTGGGAAGATTCTGCTGGTAAGCTCATTTTAAATTGAAGGGCACATTTGTGAGATGTGACTGTTTTACTCCTTGGTCCTCAGGGAAGAAAATTGTAATTCAGACATTTTATGTCTTCTAGCAATAGTTGTTCTACAATGTATAAAATATAATTAAGCACCCACTGTATGAAAAACATGGGATGTAGTACTATGGAGCAGTAGTGCAGTCGAGTCAAAAGAAATATAACTTCTTGAAATCTAGTTGGGATTTACTCATTCAGCTGATATTTATTAAAAACACACCATGAGCTAAACTCTGTAGGATGACAGAGATTCAGAAGAACAGAAGGCTCATATTTTGTCCCTGGCATAACCACTCTAATAAAATTCACAAATAAAAAATAGAGAGACTCGTGCCTTGGCTTAAAATATGATTTCAAAAAGGCTTCCTAAAACAGTTGTCTTTAACTTCAGACATGGAAAATGAATAGGAGTTAGTGAAGCCAAAAGCAGGCAGAAATGTGGTCCAAGCAATCCTGTTCTTTTCAGCTGTTCATCATGTGAAACACTTTTGTATTCCTGACCCCAGCAGCGCAGAGCAGGTCTCATCACCTTCCTCACTCTATATATTATGTGTCTTTTAGTATGAGAGGGAAAATCGCATTTTTTAGGCCTTATTGCACGTCATTATTTTAAAGTATTCTTTTAAGATAATTATATTAAGGAATGTGGCCTAAAAAGCACATTGGTAGGTTCAGAATGGATTTGCTTATTTTGCAAAGAATATGTGATTTCTGTTCATGGTAATTCTTTCTCTCTCTTTGTTTTTGAGGCGAAAAATGGTTGTATGGCTGTTGGTTTTATCGGCCAAATGAAACATTCCATCTGGCTACACGAAAATTCCTAGAAAAAGAAGTTTTTAAGAGTGACTATTATAATAAAGTTCCTGTTAGTAAAATTCTAGGAAAATGTGTGGTCATGTTTGTCAAGGTAAGAAACTCATTAGTCGCAAGAGTATAAATCATTCCATGGGAATAAAATTTATAAACACAAAAAATTGGTACTTACAAAAGTGGGAGCTCTGTTTTAAACTGGAAAAAAGTATATTTTTAAGCTATGTTTATATGGCTGTATGTAAAGATTTAGGAAGAAATTAACCTGAACATGAAGGTGAAAGGCCATTCTCTGCCTACAGTATGTAGTTGTATGCAGTCAACTTAAATTTTTTTATATGGCCAGCCTAATTTTTAAGGATAACATTTTCTGAAAGATCATTATAACTAGCTAGTGTGGTTTTCAGGTAATAAGATGTGCTTTTTGTGTATCTGTCTGATATAGGCACAGGAGCTCTGCCCATAGCTTTAAGGAACATGATAGCTTTATGAAATATTAATAATATATTTTCAAAGGGACAACTGTTAGGCTAACTAATCTAAATGTTATATGTTTAATAAAGCCATTCTGAAGCAGGATCTCGAGTCATTTACCATTTATTGTTAACTGTCAGAAAGTCTAAACAGTTTAACTTTGTTTAGTTGGTGTTTGTTTTTTTGGTTCATTGGTTTTCAGGAAATTCACCTAATTAACTTTATTCTTATATCCTCCAGGAATACTTTAAATTATGCCCAGAAAACTTTCGAGATGAGGATGTTTTTGTCTGTGAATCACGGTATTCTGCCAAAACCAAATCTTTTAAGAAGATTAAATTGTGGACCATGCCTATCAGTTCAGTTAGGTTTGTCCCTCGGGATGTACCCTTGCCTGTGGTCCGAGTGGCCTCTGTATTTGCAAATGCAGATAAAGGGGATGATGAGAAGAACACAGACAACTCAGAAGATAGTCGAACTGAAGACAGCTTTAACTTGGAAAAGGTATGTAGAAATAGCCACACAGAAAAGAATTTTACATTTCAAAATAAACAATCTAAAACTTTAATCAAGCCCTGGCTGGTTTGGTTCGGTTGGTTGGAATGTTGTCCTATACACCGAAAGGATGCAGGTTTGGTCCCCGGTTTGGATGCCTACGAGAGGCAACCAATTGATGTTTCTCTCTCTCCCTTCCTCTCTCTAAAATCAATAAACATATCCTCTAGTGAGGATTAAAAAACAACAAAAAACCTTAGAAAGAAAGGAAGTTATAAAGGAAAGACAGAAATTAATATTTAGACAACAGAATGATAGAATTTAAAAGTAAACCCAAGTACTAATCTTCTGACAGAGCCAATGAGATTTAACTACTAACCATCCTAATAAAGAAGAAAGAAGGGAATTAAGCTCAGATATTTAAAATGTGGAAGAAATTTAAGACTTCTACATTTCTGTTAATAAATTTGAAAGCCTGAATAAAATGAATAATTTTGTAGGATAATATAAATTATTAAAGTAGAATTAAGAAGAGAGAGAACACGTAAGTGGACAACAACATGAAGAAATTTTTTAAATGTTGAAGACCTAACCCTGAAGAGTACTCGGATCAGATAATTCCATAGGTGGATTCCTTTAACCCTTCAAGGGACCTATAATTATAATGTTTAAATTATTTTGGAGCATGGACAACAAAGAAAAACTCCCAGTTTGTTTTACAAAGCTAGAATAACCTTGATTCCAAAGCCTGGCAAAATAAAGACAAAAACTACAGGTCAGTCACAAATGTTGATGCAAAAAAAATACTTGGGGAGGAGAGTATTTTTACAAGTGAAATCAATTAGTTATTTAAGAACATGAATTCTTAGAATGAATTCAAGGATTGTTCAAAATTAGGAAAACTCATTAATTTCATTATATTAATAGATTAAAGGAGAAATTATTTGAATAAAGTACACTACTTGAGTTAAGTTTTTAGATGAATATTTTTCCTCAAAGTGATTTTTTAAAAATTATTTTTGTGCCCAACCAGGCATGGCTCAGCAGTTGAGCATCGACCTAAGATCCAGGAGATTGCAGTTCAATTCCCTGTCAGGGCACATGCCCGGTTTGAGGGCTCGATCCCCAGTCGGGGTGTGCAGGAGGCAGCTGATCAATGATTCTGTCTCATCATTGATGTTTCTTTCTCTCCAGCTCCCTTCCTCTCTCTGAAATCAATAAAGATATATATATATTTTAATTATTTTTGTACCTCAAGCCTATAAACAAAATTCCTTTTCAAGTTATACACATGACAGAGGTACTTGCTGTACCATTACCTATATTTTTCTGAAAGTAGTCAGTGTGGTTAGACAAATGAAAGTAGTGAAAATATTTTTTTGTTGTTGTTAATCCTCACCAGAGGATATTTTTTCCATTGATTTTTAGAGAAGGGAGAGGAAGAGAGAGGAGAGAGAGAAATATTGATGTGAGAAAGACATCCATTAGTTGCCTCCCACACACACCCTTACCGGAGCCAGGGATCTAATCTGCAACCCAGGTGCATGATCTTGACCAGTAACCGGTTTGCACGCCAACACTAACCACTGAGCCACACTGGCCAGGACTAAAAGTAGTGAAAATATTGACAAGAAAGAGACAAGATTATTTTTTTGCAGATAATAGGAGAAATTAACAGGTCTTTTGAAACAATTCAAAAAGTAATTTCAAGATCTATATACAAGTTAATAGCTATCTTCTGTAACCATAATCATAAAACTTTAAAAAAATAAATTAAAAATAAATAAAACTTTTAAAGGAACAATGAAAACATTGAATATACTTTAGCAACTGTTAGAAAATTATATGGAAGAAAATATCTAACTCACATTAACAACAAAATAGATTAAGAAATAAATTTAGCCGGCTGGGCGTGGCTCAGCGGTTGAGCATCGACTTACGATCCAGGTGATCGGGGTTCGATTCCCAGTCAGGGTACATGCCTGGGTTGCAGGCTTGATTCCCCGCAGGGGGCATGCAGGAGGCAGCCGATCAATGACTCTCTCATCATTGGTATTCTTATCTCTCTCTCTCCCTCTCCTTTCCTCTCTCTGAAATCAATAAAGATATAAAAAAAAAAACAAAAAAATTAAATGATTATACGAAGCCTGTGGAAAGAGAAATAGTCAATCTCCTGAAGGACATAAAAGAATTGAATAAATTGTTTTTAGAATTTGACAAAATTATTCTAGCATTCTTATGAGAGGATAAGTATGTGACAGTGACCAGAAAAATAAAAAAATAGAATAAGAATGCATTGACAGCATTTAAGATCCTGCTCCCCAGTATATGTAATAAAAAAAAAGGTTTTGTGCTGACAGATGTTGCATTTTACAAAACTACATTTAAAAAATTGAAGTACTAGCTTTGGACTAGTCAGTGAAAGGAATAAGCTTTTCACAGTTAAATCCAGAATATAAAGGTAGTATTTTAAATCAACAGGAGTGGATAGAATCAAATAATACTTGAAAAACTGGTAGCCATTTGAAAAAGAAAAGCAAAAAAACAACAATAAAAACACCTGCATTCTTCCTCACTTCATATCCAAAATAATTAAGATATAAACATAAAAAAAAAAAACCAGTACTAAAGAGTATAAGTTTCTAGCATAAGTACAGTTACTGTATTTACCTATAATATTTTATTCATTTCTAAACTTAGAGTAAGTTCTTTCTTTGCTATGATTTAAAACTCAGTAGCCATAAAAGAAAAAAATTATTTTGATCATTTTATCAATTTGCAATCGGAAATAAAACAGTCGAAGGACTAATTTTTAATGTACGAAGAGCTCTTGGAAGTCTAAGAAAAAAGTAACACTAAAACAATAGGCAAAGGAACCAAATAGATCATTTACAGAAAGAAGGCAGCCAAAAGGCGTAAGAAAATGTGTTAATCTAATAGTTTTCAAAATGCCTAACAAAGATTGGCATGAATTCTAAAAACATGCAGCCTGATGTGGGGCAACACACACTCCCTTCCCATTGATGACATTGCCTTTGACCCTGCAGTTTGGTGACAGGGAATGTGCTCCCACATAGTACTCAAATAGGTACATCAAAGGATATACAAGGAGTAAGGATATACAAGGAGTAACGTTAGTGTAGTTTGTAAAAGCAAAAACCCTAGACTAAACCCAAATGCCCATGAATAGCAATTAAGTTGTTATACATTTATATAATGCTAACTACAGCCAATGAAAGGAATAAAATTAGGTCTATTATAGTAACATTGAAAATTTTCCAAGTGATGTGGGAAAAACTTGTTACTAAATAACAGGTTGCAGAATGAGATTTGGTTTATCATTATTCAAGAAATAGCCTTGGCTGGTGTTGCACAGTGGGTTGGAGCATCGCCCCGTACACCAAAACGTGGTGGGTTCGAGTCCCAGTCAGGGAACATACCCAGGTTGCACGTTCAATCCCCAGTCTGGGAGAGTACAGGAGGCAACCAATGGATGTTTCTCTCTGACATCGATGTCTCCCTCTTCCTCATCCCCCCTTCTCTCTCTCTTTCTCTCCCTCTTCCTCTCTCTAAAATCAGTTTTTTTTAAAAAGAAAGAACAAAACTGTATGAATGTGAAAACACATGGAAAACTGTACTAAACTGGGTGGTTATCTCAGGTTAGATCACGTAAGACTTTTGTTTTTTAAGTTTTACACACTTTAATGTTTGAATTATTTCAAACAAATATAATTCATATAATCAAGAAAAACAAAGTTTTAAAATTGTTAATGTAAAAACGGGAGGAAAATGAATTCTTAGTGTCTCGGAAAAAATATTCATTTTTGTGTGCTAACACATAATATATCTTACATTTTACCGATATGTATGAGAATCAGAGAGACATTAATTTTAGAAGAAGAAGAAATATCAGTGGAAGCCAATGTGAAATTAACTTAGATTTGTTATTTTTATTATTAGAATTGATAAGTTCCCAGGATCCTCTGTATGTATCAGTTACTATTTTATCTAATTATTTTGATATTGCATGGCCAGGACAAGTCATTCAGGACCTTTTTTAAAGAGTAACTTTAGGGCAGAACCCATTCCTAAAATAAAAAAGTATTTTTTTTTAAATTATGGTTTATATACAATATATCAGTTTGAAGTGTGCAACATAGTGATTCAACACAACGTGATCATCATGATAAGTCGAGTAAGCTGTCACTGTACAAAGTTATTACAGTACTATTGGCTATATTTTCTGTGCTGTCGATTACACACCCATGACATTTCTTTTATAACTGGAAGTTTGTAGCTCTTAATCCCCTTCACCTTTTCGCCCATCCCCTCTGGCAACCATCAGTTTGTTCTTTATGTCTGTGAGTGTGTTTTATTTGTTATGTTTTGTTAGATTCCACATATACGTGAAATCATATGGTATTTGGCTTTCTCTGTCTGACTAATTTCACTTAACATAATACTTTCTAGATCTATCCATGTTGTTGCAGATGACAAAATTTCTTTTTTATGACTGAGTAATAGTTCATTTTGTATATTTGTGTGTGTGTGTGTATCACATCTTTATTCATCTATCAGTGGATGCCTAGGTTGCTTCCATGTCTTGACTATTTTAAATAATGCTGCAGTGGACACAGGGATGCATGTATCTTTCAAATTAGTACTTTTGTTTTCTTCAGACAGGTACCCAGAAGTAGAATTGCTATGTTGTATGATAGTTATATTTTTAATTTTTTAAGAAACCTTAATACTGTTTTCCATAGCAGTTGCACCAGTTTACAATCCCACTGACAGTGCAGGAGGGTTTCCTTTTTTCCAAATCCTAGCTAACACTTGTTATTTGTTGTCTTTTTTTTTTTTTAATTTTTTTTTTATTTATATATATATTTTTGTTAATTCTCACCTGAGGATATTTTTTCCATTGATTTTTAGAGAGAGTGGAAGGGGGTGGAGGGGAGAGAAAGAGAAAGAAAAAGAGAGAGAAAGAGAAAGAAACATCGATGTGACAGAGACACATCAATTGGTTGCCTCCCGTACACTCCCTGATGAGGGCTGGGAATCAAACCTGAGACCCTTCCCTACTCGACCAATGCTCTAACCACTGAGCAACATGAGCCAGGGCTTGTGTTTTTAATAGCCATTCTGACAGATATGAGGTGACATCTCATTGTGGTTTTGATTTGCATTTCCTTTATGATAGTGATGGCTGAGCATCTTTTCATGTGTCTGTATTTCTCCTTTGGAGAAATGTCTGTTCAGATCTGCCCATGTTTAATTGGATTGTTTGTTTTTGATGTTGAGTTGTATGAGTTTTTTATAAATTTTGGATATTAACCCTTATCAGATATATCACATGCAAATATCTTCTTCCATTCAGTAGGTTACCTTTTTGTTTTGTTGATGGTTTCCTTTGCTGTGCAGAAGCTATTTAGTTTGATGTAGTCCCATTTGTTTATATTTGTTTTTATTGCCCTTGCCCAAGGAGACCTGTAAAAAATATATATATATTGCTAAGAGGGATGTCAAAGACTTTACTTCTTATGTTTTCTTCTAGTAGTTTTATGATTTCAGGTCTTACATTTAAGTCTTTAACCCATTTTCAGGTTTTTTTTGTGTATGGTATATGAAAGTGGTCCAGTTTCATTTTTTTGCCTGTAGCTGTTCAGTTTTTCCAACACCATTTATTGAAAAGACTATCTTTTCCCCGTTTTATATTCTTGGCCTCCTTTGTCATAGATTAAATAACCAGAAAAGAGTATTTTTAACGTCAGGGGTTACTTTATTTATTTTTCAAATATATCCTTATTGATTTCAGAGAGAGGAAAGGAGAGAGAGAGATAGACAGAAACATCAATGATGAGAGAGTCATGGTGGATCGAGCCCGCAACACGGGCATGTGGCCTGACCGGATATCGAACCCCGATCGCCTGGATCCTAGGTTGGCGCTCAACCGCTGAGCCACGCCTGGCTGGGCAGGGGTTACTTTATATGTAGCTTCCATTTCAAGTGCCCTTTACCTCACATTTATGTGGAATCTCTTTCATTCTTAAGGATTTTCTCCAAAGACTATTTTAATACCACATTTGAAGTCATTAAGATCAAAACATTATATTATTCGAACACTCTAAAGGAGATTTTTTTCAATTTTGACATTTCAGATATTCTCAGAGAGACAGGGAGATGCAGTAGAATATTTTGGGGTGCTGAAGTTTCTTAGCTTTTATAAATTTTGGAGTTATAAAACTTAAAACCTGGCATTATGCTGATTGCCTATTAGGTTCCCAGTAAATGATGTTTCTTATTTCCATTAGTTAAGTTGTGGGGTTTTTTGCCACGAGTATAAAACAACAATAATAAATGGTTGTACTTTTAATGAGTCAGGCATTGTTTTATGTATCTACATGGATTGTGTCATTTAAGCTTCCTAACAACCCCACCTGGGTCAAGTAATTTGTCACAGCAGCCAGTAGGTAAGAGACCCTGTAGTTTATTCAATAACAGAAAATGTTTGGGTCACAGAGACTATGCTAGTCCTTTCTATTTTGAAATAAGCCAAAATGAGTTTTTAAAAAATCTATTCATTGTTAATGTTAAGAAATTGAGAGCTCAGTAAATGTGAAGAGGAAGCTCGTTTAGAATTTGCTCCTTATACTCTATAATAATGCATGAATGAGACTGCTTCTGAATGCTAAGGCCTCTCCAGTGCTGCTGCTGCTGTTGTTGTTGTTTGCTAAAGGTTGTGGAAATAGAGGAAGGAGGGAGAGGGAAGTAAAAGCATCCTGGAGTAACATATGAAAATTAACTTGAAATTTAAAATAGATACAATATTTGATGAGGCTTAGTTTGAGTGCAGTAACCTAATCTTTTGGTTTCTTCTCTTCATTAAAGCTTCTATTTATAGTTATCTGTCTTTTAAGTTAAGATGAAGGAAAGTCTGTTTTCCTTTTTTACTTTCTCTACTTCTTGATTGTCAGCTGCCTATCTGCAACCAGTTTCCTTTTCAACAGGAGAAAGAAGATGTCCCTGTGGAAATGTCCAATGGTGAACCAGGTTGCCACTACTTTGAGCAGCTCCGTTACAACGACATGTGGCTAAAGGTTGGCGACTGTGTCTTCATCAAGTCCCATGGCCTGGTGCGCCCTCGTGTGGGCAGGTGAGTATTATTGAAGTAGGGCAGATGAGGTTGGGTCTGGGAGATGTGGAGCCAGTAAAAAGAATTCATCACTCTTTAGGATGAAGACAGAAGTCTCTCCCTAGGTAACTTACCCAGTTTTCTTTCTCACCACACTTCCCCTGCTTATGCCTCTAGCCATACTTCTTTATATTCCTCCATGAAATCTTTTTCTTCTTCTACCATTTACTGAACTCTTCACCCTAAAATCTTTCTGCACGATTCATATGGTGAACTCCTTTAGCTTAAATTTGAAATGGTACTTCCTTAAGGAAACCTGTTCCTTACAGACTGGATTAGGTCTCCCTGTTACACACTCTCAGAGCACCATGTATTTCCTTCTCCTTGGAGCACATATCACATCATTATTCTCAGGTTCTGTATTGGACTACAAGTGCCCTGTGAGTAGGCACCCTCTCTTTTTGTTCTCCTTTGTATTCCCTGTTCCAAACATAGTGCATGAAACATAGTAAGGGCTCAGATATTTGAGTGAACAAATAAATGGATGAAAGTATGGTTGGATGTCAAAACAACAGTAAAGGAGTAGGGACAGAGCTGGGCAGTTGAGGATAATACTTAAGAACAGGAGTTGATTCCAAGAGATCTTGGTTTAAGCCCCAGCCCTGCTAGTTTCAAATGATTTCCAAATGACTTACTTCTCTTAGTCAGTGTCCCCGTATTTGTTTCATCATTCACCAGTCATTTATTACACACCTTCCATTTGCCACAGTCTAAGGGTACATTAGTGAATAAAATAGACAGATATCCTTAGTCCCATGGATCTTTGTACTAGTGGGAAGACAAAAAATAAACATCGTGAATAAGTAAGGTACACAGTACATACCATGTTAAAGTATTTTTTTCCCCTGAGATGAATAGCCAGATCTTCATTTCTCTTTTTCCAAGTATCTTCTCATGTGCTTAAAGGGGGGAAATTCAAGGCAATCATCAAAATAACCAGTGAAATTTCTCTATATATTAAATTTTTGGTTAATGGTATTGTTAGATTAATCGTTCAAGAATGAAACTCATTAGAATTTTATTTTAATGGAATTTCTCCCCCTCCCTTACCCTCCCCCAAGAATTGAAAAGGTATGGGTCCGAGATGGAGCTGCATATTTTTATGGCCCCATCTTCATTCACCCAGAAGAGACGGAACATGAGCCCACAAAAATGTTCTACAAAAAAGAAGTGTTTCTGAGTAATCTGGAAGAAACCTGCCCTATGACGTGTATTCTGGGTAGGTACTTAATGCCATTTCATTTAATTACATTCATTCCACAAGAGTCGATTAGATACTTCTTTGCTAGGCACTGTTCTAGGTGCTAGTTATACAGCAACAAACAAACCAAAGTCTCTGCTCTTTTAGAGACTTATGATGGGGCAGAGGCTGGGGACTCAGTAAATTAAAATTAAATATATAGGACATCAGGCAGTCATTAGGACTCTGAAAGAGTAAAGCAGAGGGAGAGGAGGATAGAGGTTCATGTTGAGGGGAGGTCCTGCTTTAGGTAATGTGGCCAATCAAAGCCTCTCTGATAGATGACATATGAATAGAGCCCTAAAGGAAGTGAAGAAGAAAACCATTTGAATATTTGAGATTTTACTCCTTTTAGCCACAGCAAACACCAAATGCAAAGACCTTAAGGCAGAGTATCTGGGCCTGTTTGAGACACAGTAAGCAAGCTGAGTGACTGGAGCAGGGCCAGGGGGTTGTGGCAGGGAATGAGCCCTCTGAGGTGGCTCAACACCAAATCACGACAGGTCTTGCAGACAGTGCAGAGATTGAGTTTACAGCAGATAGGAAGTCCTGTGAGGGGTCTGTGCAGAGAGGCAGTGTGATCCCACATATGCATCAGAGGAATCACTGTGGCTGCGGTTTAGAGAGTATGTTGTAAGAATGAGGTGGGAAGCAGGAAGAGCAGTTAAAAGACTTTTACAGTCTTTGTTGGACTCTTAACCAATGTTATTGTCTCCATTCCAGAAATAGGAAGGACTCTTGTTTTGGTTTCTGTTCCATCTTCCTGAGTGTTCACGGTGACATTCTGCTTTTCAGATCTAGATATATGCATCATATACTGCCATCATTTTCAGCTAAATTGTTTTTGGTGTGAATTTTTCAGAATTGGATGTGATAAACACATCCAATTTGTAGTTAAACACATTTTCTTCTCCCCACTCTGTGGCAAGGACCCTGCAAAGGCTAGTGAAGTTATTAAATACTTCTTGAGTTTCTGCAGCAGAGGATGTCTTCCCTTGTAGCTTGTGATTCATACTAAACAGTGCCCTAGAGCCTTACTCCCTAGTGTAAACCCAGCCTGGAGTCAAAGGGAGCATAACAGAGGTGAAATTAAAGCCTCCTTTGTGAGAGCAACCGTATCATTTATTGGTTTTTAGTGATTTTCTTAGTGACTAATCTGGAGATTACATCTTAAGTTTATGACAGTCTAGTTTGAATTAATACGAACTTAGCTTCATTAGTATACAGACACTTCTCTACAGCTTAATTTCTCTCCCTTTGTGTTGTCAGGAATTACCTTTTTATATTTTGTGTGTCCATTAACATAGGTATTTTCCCTCCCATGGTTTTATTTATTTTGCTTTTACATTTTTAATTTTTTTTTTCAATTACAGTTGATATGCGGTATTATATTAGTTACAGGTGTACACTCGAGTGATTAGATATTCTATAACTTACTAAGTGATTATCCTGATAAATGTTGTACCCATCTGACACCATACATAGTTATTAGAATATTATTGACTATTCCCTATGCTGTACTGTACATCCCCATGACTATTCTGTAACTACCAATTTGTAATTCTCAATCCCTTCACCTTTTTCACTGATCCACCCCGAACCACCCCACCACTCCAGTCTGGCAATTGTCAAAATGTTTTCTGTATCCATGAGTCTGTTTCTGTTCTGCTTATTTCTTTTGTTTTTTAGATTCAATTGTTGATAGGTATTTATTGCCATGTTATTGTCCATATTTCTTCCTCCTCCTCCTCCTCTTCTTCATTTCATGTAATACGGGTTTGGTGGTGATGAGCTCCTTTAGCTGCTGCTTGTCTGGGAAGCTCTTACTCCTTCGGTTCTAAATGATAGCTTTGCCGAGTAGAGTAATCTTGGTTGTAGGTTCTTGCTTTTCATCACTTTGAATATTTCTTGCCACTCCCTTCTGACCTGCAAAGTTTCTTTTAGGAAATCAGCTGACAGTCTTATGAGAGCTTCTTTGTAGGTAACCAACTGCTTGTCTCTTGCTACTTTTAAGATTCTTTGTCTTTAACCTTTTGCATTTTAATTATGATGTGTCTTGGCGTGGGCCTATTTGGGTTCCCCTTGTCTGGAACTCTGCGCTTCCTGGACTTGTATGAACATTTCCTTCACCAAGTTAGGGAACTTTTCTGTCATTTTTTCAAATAGATTTTCAATTTTTTGCTCTCTTTCTTCTCTTTCCATTACCCCCATGGTGCAATATCGGTAAACTTGAAGTCGTCCTAGAGACTCCTTGCACTATCTTCACTTTTCTGGATTCTTTTGACTTTTTTTCCCGTTCTGATTGGGTATTTTTTGGTTCCTTATATTCCAAAGTGCTGTTTTGATCCTCAGCTTTATCTCCTCTATTGATTCTCTTTAAAGTATTCTTCATTTCAGTTAGTGTATCCTTCATTTCTGACTGGTTCATTTTTATGGTCCCCATGTCCTTTTTTAGGCAGTTAAAATTCTGAGTTCATCTACTCTTCCCCTAAGTTTATTGAGCATTCTGATATCAGTGTTTTAAACTCTGCATCGTAGATTGCTTGTCTCCATTTTGTTTAGTTCTTTTTCTTGAGTTTTGTTCTATTTTATTTGAGACATGTTTCTTTGTTTCCTCATTTTGGCAGCCTCCTGTGTTTGTTTCTGTGTACTAGATAGAGCTTCTGTGTCTCCTGAGCTTGGTAGAGTGGCCTAATGTAATAGTTGTTCTGTAGGGTCCAGTGGCACAGCCTCCTCATTCACTCAAGCTAGGAACTCCAGGTGCACCCCTAGCCCCTTGTGGGCTATATACACCCCCTATTTTAGTTGAGCCTTTATTGCTCTCGACATGTCAAAAAGGATTTACCCCCATGTTAATCAGCTGCAATGACTGGCTGTAACCATTGTGGAGTATCAGCTGTGTTGGGAGCCTACTACCCCATGGAGCAGAACTTACTTCAGTGGGGCTCTGGTGCCTGCTGAGTCTGCCCCTTTACTGTGTTGCTTGTGGAGGTGGTTGGATGGTGCTTCAATGTGGTCTGAAGCTGTCCACATGGTGCACTGGCTCTGGAGCCTCCCAGGAAGTGCAGGCCGAGGTCTGGTGCCACCTGTGCTCTGCCCAGGGCCACCAGGCATTAGCTACAAAGCAATCTGCAGACAGCTGCTACTTGTGCTGGCTTTGGAGGTGTCCCTGAGAGGCCAAGCTTGGAACCAAGGCCGACTGCTGCTAGTGCCTGGCTTGGGGCCACTTAGCAAGAGGTACACTTAGCAAGAGGGCCAGGGCACCCCCCGGCCAAAAGCTGCTTGTTCGAGAGATTTTAAGAAATTCTGAAGCATGAGCCAAGACAGGCCATTCACACAGAAAAGTCACTGGAAACAGCTTGGGTGGGCCAGAAACTTAGGTGGAGCAGGGTCTCAGGGAATCACCAGGGTGGGAAAACAGTGATAGCCAGGTCGATGGAGGCTCAGATTCGGTGCATACCTGCAGGCTTTGTGTTGGAAGGGTACAGAAAAGGAACAGTGGCCTCTCCCAGCACTTCTTTCTGGAAGAAAACTGCCCCTCACCCCCACCTATCACCCTGATGCCGGACCATTCAGTTCCTCCCTGTATGTCTCTGGTGCCTTTCAAGCCACTGCCCGAGCGCTGAAGCTCAGAGGGAGTGAGTCTGAGTAAGTCTGTGCGAGGCCTTTTAAGAGGAACTGTGTGGGACTCCAGCAGCCCTTTGTCTCACTCAGCCACAATCTCCACTGGATTTTACAGCCAGAAGTCATGGGAACTTCTCTTCCTAACACTGGAACCATGGGCTGGGAGTCTTGGTGTGGGGCTGGGACCCCCTCACTCCTCAGCGGGTACTTCTGCAGCCAAGATATCCCTCCCAATTTTTATCCACCACTTGTGAGTGTGGGACCAGACTATTTCTTGTCTCTCCCTTCCTACCAGTCTCAAAAAGTGGCTGCTGCTTTATATCCTTAGTTTTAGGACTTCCATTCAGCTAGATTTCAGGAGGTTCTAAATGATGGTTGTTCTGTAGTTTAATTGTAATTTTGATATGATTGTGAGAGGATGAGGGTACCACATTTACCCATGTTGCTGTCTTGACCGGAAACCCCATAGATTTCTGATTTTTGCTTTATGCATTTGTCTTTAAAATCATATTAGAGAAAAAAGGCATTAACAAACCAAAAATATAATATTGGCTTTTATATTTACCTATGTTTTTACCTTTACTGGTGTTTTTAATTTTTTTATGTAGCTTCAAGTTATTGTCTAATGTCCTTTCACTTGAGCCTGAAGGACTCCCTTTAGCGTTTCTCGTAAAGCAGGTCTGCTAGCAACAAGTTCCCTCATCTTTTGTTTATCTGGCAATGTCTTGATTCCTTGTTCATTTTTGAAGAATTCTTTTGCTGAATATAGAATTCTCCATTGAGTGTTTGTTTATTTGTTTGTTTTTAATATGTCATTATTAATTTTAGAGAGAGGAAGGGAGAGGGAGAGAGATAGGAACATCAGTGATGAGAGTGTCATTGATCAGCCACCTCCTGCACACCCCCCACCGGGGATCAAGCTCAAAGCCTGGGCATGTACCCTGACCAGGAACCGAACCAAGATCTCCTGAATCATAGGTTGGCACACAACCGCTGAGCCACACTGGCCAGGCTCCATTTACAGTTTTTTTTTCTTTTATGTCTTTCATCAAACTTGGGAAGTTTTTGATCACTATTTCTTCAGATATTTTTTTCTGCCCCTTTCTGTCTTGTTCTCCTTCCTGGATTCCCATTATGCCTGTGTTGGTATGTTTAATGGTGTATCACAGGTCTCTTAGAATCTGTTCGTTTTTCTTTATTTTCTTCTTTCTTTTTCTCAGACTGGTAACTTCTATTGACCTGTTTCAAGTACGCTGATTCTTCTACCTGTTCAGATCTTGTGTTGAGCACCTGTTGTGAATTTTTCATTTTACTTGTTGTGTTTTAGCTCTAGAATTTTTATTTAGTGTTTACAA